AACATGTTAACTAAACTTAGAGATGATCCAGAGACAGGCGGCTAAAACAGGTAAAGGGCAAAGAAAATTCATCAGAAAATCCAAACCTAAAAATATGAGAGGATATAACAAGCGAATCTTAGACCTATTCAGTACCCTATGACTTGTAAAAAAAAAAAAAAAAGTAATTTCATAAAATAATAACGTATTACAAATAAACCATGCATTTCTTAGCGGGTAAATTAATGGATAAACAGTCCAAAAATAGTAATGGTAACACCAAGCTCCCTCATAAACACCTTTCTTAGCAGAAAAATGAATGTGCTTCTTAGCACATAAATAGATATAACAAGAAGGCTGTTAAAAAAAAGAAAAAAGAACAGTCCAGATTAATAATCTGTCTGTGAATATTATGTGACATTATATAATCTCTGCCAACAAGGAACTTGCAATTTCAGGCAGGTATGAAGTATACCAACTGAAATATACAAAATGACATAAATAGTAACACCCAACCACTCCCTGGAAAGAAGCAAACTAAGGTAATCAAGGTTTCATGGGGTAGGTGTTGCAACACAGTAAGATGGGGAAATGTTACTCCCCCTGCAGGAGTAGTTTAATGGGTCAAATAGGAGAAGAAAGATCTCAAGTCAGCCTATTTCAGATTCAAGCATAGGAGGACATAACTACAACTTCCAACTAAGGACTCAGAAATGTCTCGGAATCTTTTTGTGTTTCAGTGGCAAATAAGTTGGGAACCAAACTGTTCTAACATGGTTATACTCAAAAGGTGATTTATGTTTGCCATGTCATGGGAGTAATTCTTACTGATGTTACTGAAGCATGCTTACTGTGGCATGACTTACCGAAGACTGTGACATTTCCCAGTCACTGGAGGGGTCTTTCAAGCCACTTTCATCCTTCAAGTATTTCTCAAATAACCTTTTGTTGATTGGCTCCTCCATATCAAGAATATCAAGAGCCTGCTGATGCTCTTTTGCAGCATACTGTGTAAAAACCAGAAATACTGTTCATCACCCATGACTTCTAACACCAGATATACACACAAGTACTGTAGATTTTAAAAGGGTAATAAAATATCATACTCACTCATTACCTAAATTTAAAATGTAGAGTTTAAAATTTAAAATTCTAAAGCAGAATCTTCTTCATGCATGTCAGATTCCAGTAAATGGAGAATCGATATTTTATAGCAAACAATACTAAAGAAAAGAATATTTCCTCATGAAATACTTTACTAATCTGCCAAGCTCGATCACCAGAATCCTTACACATATGTAAGGGATGCATAACATTCACATAATTAAACTTTTACCAAAGAAAACTGAAACTGAGAGCATACTTACATGGCATCTAGCTGCAAGGTAGCGACATGCTTCATATAGCTAGGAAAGAAATTAATCTATTAAAAAAGAGATCAAGATAATATATACCCTCATTCTAAAAGTAAACTATAAGCATAAAATGAAGAAAGCTACTTTCATAACTTGTCCTTTTACTCTTGCAGAAAACCCAAATCCAGTCTTTTGAACTCATACTCGTCTTGGATCTACTGTTTACTAGGCACCAAGGATTCAAAAAGGAGTAAAGAGAGGCACCCGAGTGGCTCAGTTGGTTAAGCGTCTGCCTTCCGCTCAGGTCATGATCCCAGGGTCCTAGGATTGAGTCCTGCATCAGGCTTCCTGCTCAGCTGGGAGTCTGCTTCTCCCTCTGCCCCGCACCGCCCCCCCCACTCCCCACTCATGCTTGTGCACACCACTCTCTCTCTCTGAAATAAAATCTTTTTTAAAAAAGGTACAATAAAAAAATAAAATGGTTAAAAAAAAAAAGAGTAAGGATCTGCCCTCAAGGAGGTTATGGCAGGAAGACATAAACACAGCACTATGTAAGACATAAACTACATAAACTCTGAAAGAAGGGCATGAGAGATACTGGCCAGTTAAAGAAAACATGTGCAAGGGAGAGAAAAGTGAGAGGCTGGCCAGCATTCCAGGCACCGAACACGACCAGCTATCACATGTCCAAGGGACTGCAAGTAGTCAGCATGACTAAGGTGTCACATGTACTGGTGGTGGCGCTGGGTTCCACACAGATTGCAGAGAAATCATAAAGGAACTCTGGTGCCTATTGATGCATCTCATTTTGCCCTGTAAGTTATGGGAGATCACTGAGTGACACTGTGAGTGCTATCATCAGGCCTGTGTTTGGGAAGACTACCCTTGTGATAGTTTATTTATTTATTTTTTAAAGATGTTATTTATTTATTTGACAGAGAGAGACACAGCGAGAGAGGGAACACAAGCAGGGGGAGTGGGGGAGGGAGAAGCAGGCTTCCCACTGAGCGGGGAGCCTAATGCGGGGCTTGATCCCCGGACCCTAGGATCGTGACCTGAGCCGAAGGCAGACGCTTAATGACTGAGCCACCCAGGCACCCCTCATCTTCCTTTTTAATAAAAGCATTTTATACTCTACATTTTTTCCTAAACACTGCTTCTGCTGCGTCTCAATATTTTAGTGTGTTGTATTTTCATTTTCATTCAGTTCAAGATTTTCCTTTTTTTTTTTTTAAAGATTTTATTTATTTATTTGACAGAGAGACACAGCGAGAGAGGGAACACAAGCAGGGGGAGTGGGAGAGGGAGAAGCAGGCTTCCCGCGGAGCAGGAGCCGGATGCGGGGCTCGATCCCAGGACCCTGGGACCATGAGCGGAAGGCAGACGCTTAACGACTGAGCCACCCAGGCGCCCTCCCCAAATATTTCTTTTTTTTTTTTAAAGATTATTTATTTATTTATTTATTTGACAGAGAGAGACACAGAGAGAGAGGGAACACAAGCAGGGGCAGTGGGAGAGGGAGAAGCGGGCTCCCCGCTGAGCAGAGAGCCCAATGTGGGGCTCCATCCCAGGACCCTGGGATCGTGACCTGAGCCGAAGGCAGACACCCAACAACTAAGCCACCCAGGTGCCCCTACTCTTGTGATAGTTTAAAAGATAGTTAAAAAGAGAGGGACAGTAGAGTGGGAAAGATGTTACTAGAGAAAAGAGACAAAAGGCTAAAACAAAACAAATTAAAGACCTGACACGTATGAGCAGTAAAGAGATGGAAAGGAAGATCCATAATTTCAGAGTTATTTAGAAAACAGAATTCTCAAGACTTAGTGACTAGATTGGGGGGGGCAAAAGTGACTGAGATTAGGAATAAGAAAATTTCTCTTTACATTCAATAAGAAAAACTGAATCCTTTTAAATAATTTTGACATTTAATCCAATAACAATTTGAAAAGCTTTGGGAAGACTTTGGGAAACTTTAAATTTCACACAAACACTTACTTTGTCCAGTTTTCGTGACCGAAGTGCATGAGCTGCTCTATGATATTGTGCTGTTAGGTACAGACACTGAGCCAACCAATAAATGTCCTGGGGTTCCTCTGGAAGGAAAAAAAAAAAACACATAATGGTCAGAGGTACAAGGAAAAATAAAAAGGTTTTTAAAATACAGAAATCAGAAAAAAAATTAGAAGTTGCCACTTACCATGAGAGAGTGAAGCTACTTTATCTGCCCAAAATAGAGCACTTTGATACTGTTGCTATATTTAAAAAAAAAAAAAGTAACTGCTGTTACTTCAATAGTTTTAAACAGATATCTAATATTATTAGAATGCTATATAGTAAACCAACATCTTAATATAATAATTGTTAACATGTTACAAGGGTCTACCAATCATACCTCCATTTTTACATCTCAGGTAGGTGAGTTTTGGTTCAGTGGTACAATAAAAACATTGTTGTAAGATCTTTGATATATACAGTTCTTAAGAAGGTAGGATTTCTTTTTAAACTTATACATTGGAAAAATGTTATCAGCAGGTACCTAAAACACTAGAAAATTAAACAATTCGTCTGTGGTATCTCCTCATTAGCAGTAGTTCTCAGTTCTTGAATGAATGCAACTAGGAACTCTGTTGCCCCTCAACCTGGGAAGAGGAATGCTTAGGGAATGGTTACAAATCTGCTCACCCGTAAGTGCCCCAAGGGTGGAAACCAGGCCTGTCTCATTCCTCACTAGTCCCCATTCCTCACTAGGGCCAAATAGAAAGTGCTCAGGGGCATCTGTTCCATTCAACTGACTTACTAAAATACAACCCTCCAATGTACTGCAGGCATCTGGCAGCATCATTTCACATCCATTCTGAACATTTCATATCGTATATGCTTTTCCCTCCCCTTCCTGGTTTCCAACTTATTTGGAGAGTATAAGCTTTACAAAAACTAAGTGACCTTGCTGATTCTGGAGTCATTTCTTAAACACTGCTGTTCATTCAGAGGCAGTGCAGATACAGTTAACATGACTTTAAAAGTACTGACTCGACAAAACACGGTTATCTATCTTTAAGTTCTGCCACATAAGAATTACAACTACACTTCTTGAACATTTTCTATTAACTAGCTAAATTCAAAGACCACCCTGCAGCTTTCCTCCTACAGCAATCCTCCCGCTTGCACTGAGCACCCACTCTGCCCCAGCAGTCAGGCGGCTGCAGAGCGGGGCTCTGAGCACGTGTTAGGCTGGCGGGGCGCCTAGGTGGTGTCCACTCCAGCGCTGCTCATCCTCCCAGCTGCGCAGAGTGCTGGGGGGGGGGGGGGGCTTCACCCCAGGGCGAAGGCCCAGCCCGGCCGGACCAAGCGCCACCAAGACCGCGGCGACAGTCTCCCCTGCGGGCCAGCGCTCGGAGCCCGCGCTCCCCGGGTCCGGCCGCCCACCTGGTCCAGGTACTGCCGGACGCGCTTCCGCAGCCGCTCCAGGTTCATGGCCGCGCGGCCGACGAGTCCGATCGAGCGGCGTCCGCCGCCCCGGCGCGAGCCCTCCTTCCCGCTGGCGGCTGGGCGCGCCCCGAGCCCGCGCCGGAGCCCCCGCACCCGGCCCGACCCCGCCCAGCTCCGCGCACCGCCCGGGGTCTTCCGCTCCCGGCCAGACCCCGCCCCGGAAGTCCTCCGCAAACGCGTCCCCTCCGGCGCCGGAACCCGGGGTTGCGCCGTTGGTTCCGCGGCGTTCCGTTGGCCCTCGGGTTGCCGGCGGCTTGGGGGCCGTGGTCGCCTCTCCCTCCCACTCAAGGTCCCGGGTCGCGCGGCGCGTCGTTGTGTACGTGCGCCGTTCACTCGTAGGCTGGTCCGGGGGGGCGGGGGGCGCTCAGGGCGGGCAGCGGGGCGGTCGCAGACGGGCTGGGGGCGTAGGCGACGACGCCGGCCTCGGAGGGCCGAGGCCGAGTCGCGGCGCGCCGCTGGGGTCGCCACGTGTGCCCGTCACGCTGTCTTGCGGCAGGACCCCAGGTCGAGGAGGCCGTGACCCACACCCAGTGAGAACGACAGAGGCTGGCCTGCTGAGACCGAGTCCGTACCCCGAACGTTATCGTGCCGACGTGGACGCGCCTTCCGCTGGGCAGGGACCCCCGTCCGTGCTTCCCTTCCGAGGGCGCCGCCACTGGCTAAGCTCCGCCCGGCGTCCCCCGAATCCCTCTTGCAGCCATGCCCGACGTTGGGACTTCCGCATCGTCCCATTTTAGCAAGACCCCCCCCCCCCGTGTGTGCTCGCCCTCGACTTCGGCGCGAGTTCCTGTGTCCTCCCCGCACCCTCCAGTTGCTGTGTGAGCACCCTGGCTTGCCTTCAGCAAGGATCCTGTTAGGTCAGTTCAGACAGACCCCCCCCCATGTTTACTCTTAGTAATTGTCTATTCAGAGCCCCCCGCCCTGCTCCTTGGCTATGAATCCCCACTTGCCTGTGGTGTATTCAGAGTTGAGCCCAAGTTCTTGTCCTCGCCGCACATTTCCACCCTCGGTGGTCCCTCTACCCACGGTGGTGGCTCCCCTACCTTGAGTAAAATCTTCTTACCATGCTTTGACGAATGTCAGTTGAGTATTTTTTTCCTCTAACGCCATGTGTATGAAAGACAGTGCTTGTCAGGGGCTGCACTGAGGGACGGGCTTGGGCAACTGAGATTGCTGCGGATTACCACAATGATCTGAAGTGGATTGAGGTGATTCCTGCACAACTCTGGATGAACTAAAAGCCACGAACTGTACACGTTAAATTTTACAGTATGTAAAGCACAGTTCAATAAAACTGTAAAACTTCTTTGACCTCAGAGAGTTACCTCACCGAACAACCTGAGGTAGTGCACAGAACTTTTTTCAATCTATTGGAAGGAAACAGGTGTGTAAATACGTAAGCGCAGTGAACAAGTACAAAGATGCATGACTCAGGAAGGAGTGGAGGGACCACGAGGGAAGAGTCAATACTACCCAAGTGAAAACTGGGTGACACGTAAGTGATGAAAATGGAGGTGATATAAGCTGAGCCTTTCCTCCTAACGAAGTTAAATTTTTTGAACAAAGGCAACGCATTCTCATTACCAAAAAAAATAATGTAGATGAATGAACTGCAAAGGAAGTCAAAAGACAAGAAATAAATTGGAAACCTACCATAAGATGCTAATTTCCTTTAGATGTAAAGCCACTATAAAAAGACCAATGGCTCGGGTTGCCTGGGTGGCTCAGTCCATTGAGTGTCTGCCTTCGGCTCAGGTCATGAGCCCGGAGTCGAGATCCAGCCCCCACGTTGAGCCCCGCATCAGGCTCCCTACTCAGTGGGGAGCCTACTTCTCCTTCTCTCTCTGCTCCGCCCCCCCCCCCAAAACTTGTGCTCTCTCTCTCTCACTCTTGCTCTCTCACTCTCTCAAATAAATAAACAAAATCTTAAAAAAAAAGACCAATGGCTGGGGCGCCTGGGTGGCTCAGTTGTTCAACATCTGCCTTCGGCTCAGGTCATGATCCCAGGGTCCTGGGATCAAGCCCTGCATTGGGCTCCCTGCTCTGTGGGGAGCCTGCTTCTCCCTCTCCCACTCCCCCTGCTTGTTGTTCCCTCTCTCACTATGTCTCTCTCTGTAAAATAAATAAATAAAATCTTTTTAAAATTTTTTAAAATTTTTTATTTATTCATTTGAAATAGAGAACATGAGCAGGGAGAGAGGCAGAGGGAGAGGGAGAAGCAGGCTCCCGGCTGAGCCAGGAGCCCGATGTGGGGCTTGATCCCAGGACCCTGGGATCGTGACCTGAGCTGAAGGCAGACGCTTAACCATCTGAGCCACCCAGGCACCCCAATAAATAAAATCTTTTTTTTTAAAGATTTTATTTATTTATTTGACAGAGAAAGACACAGCGAGAGAAGGAACACAAACAGGGAGCGGGAGAGGGAGAAGCAGACTCCCTGCCGAGCAGGGAGCCCGATGCGGGACTCGATCCCGGGACTCCAGGATCATGACCTGAGCCGAAGGCAGTCGCTTAACCAACTGAGCCACCCAGGCGCCCCCAATAAATAAAATCTTAAAAAAAAAAAAACAAACCAATGGTTCAAGAATTAAAATGGGCAAATGGCTGAAAATATACTTCATAGGGAAAGAAATGCAAATAGATTCTAGACATGAAAGAAAGCTCAACTTCATAATAAAAATTAAAATTATAGTAGGGTGTCACTTTATACATCAGCAAAGAGCAAAAAGATTGGTGACACTTGTTGGCAAGAGTGTGGGGAAACAGGCTCTCTCATATATTATTTTTGTGGGTGGTGTTGGTATACCGTCCATGGTGAACAAGATGGAATGTCTTCCAAAACTAAATATGTACATACTCTGCCCTAATATTTCCACTTCTAGAGATATATTTTGCATATGTGCAGAATGACATGCTTTATGAGGATAGTCATCATAGCACTTTAATAAGGGACACTTTAATAACCTGACAGGAAACCGATTCAAGAAGTCACAGTGTACTCACATAGTGGAATACCATGCAGCTATTTAAAAGAACAAGGTAGGGGTGCCTGACTGGCTCAGTCAGAAGAGCATGCAACTCTTGATTTCAGGGTCGTGAGTTCAAGCCCCATGTTGACTGTAGAGGCTACTTAAAAATAAATAAATAAACTTTGGGGCGCCTGGGTGGCTTAGTCATTAAGCATCTGCCTTTGGCTCAGGTCATGGTCCCAGGGTCCTGGGTTCGAGCCCCACATCAGGCTCCCTGCTTCGGCGGGAAACCCGCTTCTTCCTCTCCCACTCCCCCTGCTTGTGTTCCCTCTCTTGCTGTGCCTCTCTCTGTCAAATAAATAAGTAAAATCTTTTAAAAAAATAAGTAAATAAATAAACTTCAAAATATATAAACAAAATTAAAAAATAAAAGAACAAGGCAGTTCTGTGTACGGATATGGAACAATCTCCAACATATATTAAGGGGGGAAAGCAAGGTATAGGAAAGTGTTTCTCATATGCATCCATTTGGCTAAAATAGGAAACTAACTAAAGAATAGGTAAGAAGGGGGCACCTGGGTGGCTCAGTTGTTAAGCGTCTGCCTTTGGCTCAGGTCATGATCCCAGGGTCCTGGGATCAAGCCCCGCATCAGGCTCCCTGCTCGGCAGGAAGCTTTCTTCTCCCTCTCCCCCTGCTTGTGTTCCCTCTCTCGCTGTGTCTCTCTCTGTCAAATAAATAAATAAAATTCTTAAAAAAAAAAAAGGTAAGAAGATCCTTAAACTATCCCTTGGAAGACAAATCAGAAAACTGGCCACAGTGCAATGCCTTCTGGGATTGGCACTGGAAGCTATGAGAGGAGCTGTGAGAGAGGAGTTTCTCTGGGTATCTTTTTTTTTTTTTTTTAAGATTTTATTTATTTATTTGACAGAGAGAGACACAGCGAGAGCAGGAACACAAGTAGGGGGAGTGGGAGAGCGAGAAGCAGGCTTCCTGCCGAGCAGGGAGCCCGATGTGGGACTCGATCCCAGGACCCTGGGATCATGACCTGAGCTGAAGGCAGACGCTTAACGACTGAGCCACCCAGGCGCCCTCCCTGGGTATCTTCTTGTGCCCCTTGAAATTCAGATCATGTCATGTATTACCTTTTAAAGGTAGATAAAACCTTTATAAATATAAAAGCCTAAGAAAGAAAGAAAATGCAGAAAAATGAAAAGAACATAAAAGTTCCCAAAACAATCCTATCCACTCAAAAATTCTTTTCTTAGCACTTCTGTGAGTGATCTGCCATCTCCTTTTCTATGCAATCACATCCACTGGTAACACATTCATATTTTTTCTCCTGTATCTTTCCCTTCCCTTCACCTCTTCCCAGAAACAATCATTGTCAATTATTGCTGAACACTTCACACTCTCCTTTCTGTGCTTTGAATATACATATACACATTTACAAATATCTCTCTTTTTCTTTTCTACAAAAAAGGGATGATGTAATATGTAATTATTCTGAGAATTGCCTGGTTCACTGGTATACATTGGAGATCTTTCCCTGTCAGAACCTGCTTTGTTCTTTTCAACAGCTGAAAAGTGTTCCATGTTATATTCATCAGACCAGGCTCTGGGATATGATGCTACACAAACTAATGCTTCAGATCACACCTGAGTGTCTGTGATGGTTAATTTTATGTGTCGATTAGACTGGAGCATAGGATACTCATATCTTTGGTCAAACATGATTCTGGGTTTGTTCATGAGGTGTTCTGGATAGAATTAATATTTGAATCCGTAGACCGAGTAACGCAGATTGCCCTTTCCCAGTGTGGGCCTCATCTAATCCATTAAAGGCCTGAATAGAACGAAAAGGTAGAGGAAGAGAGAATTTGCTCTCTGCCTAACTGCTTGAGCTGAGACAATCATTGATCTTCTGCCTTGGGACTCAGACGCAGACTGGAATTCACACCATTGGGCCTTCCAGGTCTCCAGCTTGCCAACTGCAGATCTTGGGACTTAGCCTCTTTAACTGCATGAGCCAATTCCTTATAATAAATCATATATGTACACACACACACACACACACACACACTCCTCACTCTTATTGGTTCAGTTTCTCTGGGAAACAGATTAATACAATGGCCATTTCATTTAGGAAATCTTTGAGCTCCCCAAGTTGGGCTTATGTGTCCCTCATATACTTTTTAGTAACACTGTATTTTCCTCATAGAAACATGATTGTAATTGCCTGTTCATTTTTCCATATCACCCTGTAGTTTGTGTGTTCCTTAAAGGCAAATACTGTGGGAGAATGTGAGGAGAGGAAAACAGAATTTCCTCTATTAATCAAACCACACTTGGGCATTCAAACATTTGGCAGAGTTCTAATTTTGTTCCTAATCTTCAATTAGTACCTGAAATGAGTCTCACCAGACCAGTGTCACTGTTTGGCAGGGTTGCTTTCCGTCTAGAGGATCTAGGGAAGAATCCAATTCCTTGGCTTTTCCCGATTCTAGAGGGAAAAGCATGGCTTGCTTTTCGATCTTCCAATCTCTCTCTGACTCTGACCTTCTTGCCTCTCTCACTTATGGATGACCCTTGTGATTACAGTGCACTCACCCAAATAACCCGGCATACTTGCCTTATTTAACAACCTTAATTTAATCACCTCTGCAAAGTCCTTTGTGCCATTTGGGGTAACATTCACTAGGTCAGGAATTCGGTATCTTTGGGGCTGTTATTCTGCCCTCCACACTACCTAACCAAGTCAGCGACCCAAAGGCATGCCTTTATTACAAGAGTAAGAAAATATGGGTGGATCAGAGAAAATCCACCCTTCCTACATGAAACCAACTCAAAGTACATGGACCACCCCTCCCAGGATCATCTCATCTCTTTGTTCCAACACCATAACCAATGATTTACCCACTCCTTGCCAGAGGATAGCCATGGGGCTGGGAGGTTCAGATCTGGGGCAAGTTTCTCAACCTCTCTGTACATTGATTTCTTCATTTGTAAAATGGGGATGATAACAGCTCACACTTCGCAGGATTGATACATGTAAAGATTGAATAAGATAATTTATGTAAAGTGCTAGAATCACACTGAACATATT